CTGCGTGGCTCTGCGCGCACACGATTGTAGACATGCACGCGCGTACACATACACGCGCACACACACGCGCGCGCACACACGTACACACGCACACACACACACACACACACACACACACACACACACACACACACACCTGCAATTTATATCACATTGCCTATTAGTATTAAGATTTGGTGCTGCAGCCAGCCAGCGGCACTGCCCTCGTGCCTATACGGTACAAAAAAATACTGCTTGCATGGTGTCAACGCAAAAATGCGGTTAATCAGATTTGTAATGTGAATAAATAAATATGTAAATTATAAAATTTATTAATATGTCTATGTGTGAGCGTGCGTCCGTGCGTACATGATATATATATATCAGGAGCTAATAATGACAAATTATTCATTATTTGTCATTTAATGACACAAAATTGTCATTATTTGCTCCTGATATATAATAGGAGTGGTGCGGGTGTGGGTGTTTGTCTGCGTGCGTGCGTGGGTGCGAGCGTGCGTGCGTGCCTGCGTGTGTGTGCATGCATGCATGCGTATGACTTCCTAACTGACTGACTGACTGACTGCAACGTAAGCCGTTGTGAATCATGATCAACCATTGGGACTGGCACAGGGCTTAGCCACAGTGACTGTTAAAGTTACAGCCAGCCTAGCAAACCCCCGTAAATGCTAAAAGCTCGTTCCACGTACTCGCCCGCCCGCACGTGCTCTACCCATGTTGTTCAAGACCTCATGTTGTAAGTGTTTCTTCTAGGAATCCCCATCGCTGGCTTTATATAGGGCAGGGGCCAGCAATCAGCACTGCCGTGAGGTATATGCTAGCGTAGCGTGCAGTGCTAGTGGATAACGATGTTGTTGTATATCGATTTTCCTATATATAGATTAGGTAATATATTAAAAATATCCATAGTAGTGGTATCACTAACACATTAAATTCTCATTAATGATTGAAATAACATTCTTAATTAATGTTTAAATCGCAATAGTGTACTCCTCATGGTATTGCTTCATGATCCTACCTGATTATGAAATATATAACTATACAAATAAATAAATAAATAAATAAATATATGTATGTGTGTGTGTGTGTGTGTGTGCGTGCGTGCGTGCGTGCGTGCGTGCGTGTGTGTGTGTGTGTGTGTGTGTTGAGTGTGCGTGTGCGCGTGCGCGTGCAGACGCGTGCGTGTGCGCGTGTGTGTATGTAATATGTAATCTCAATTAGTGTAATACTAATATATTGTAGCACACTCGATAATAAATCACGTCATTAAATATAGGAATAGGCAGCGACCCTGTGTAATATTATTTAATAACTATTAAATAATACAATAAGCGTTTGCAAATATTAATTAGAAAAGCTTGAATCGTTTATGGAATTATATCGGACTTACCAGACTTTTCCAGGTATATATATGACTAACAAACACACTTCTCCAAGTTTGTTAGTGAGTATTTCACAGTGATTAATGATCAGCAATCAATATCCTCGTATGAGTGCAAGTGGCAAATAAGCACCCGGTAGCCGGCACAATCTTCGGTAGCTCGTAGATAGATAGTTCAATGTGCCACATCTCCCGCGGGAACACACGCGTCAACACAGCACCGTAGCACTACTCCGCTTTCAGCTGACCTAGGATATATGCCTACTCCTCGATATGCTCCCGCTTACGCTCACGCTTACACTCCGACTGAGAAGGTTCATGCGTGACGCGAATAGGGCTAACGGACGTACGCAGACAAGCGCGTGTTCGTGGAAGGTGTGGACGGGTTCCGGGAACATCCGGATAGCGTGACGCCGCGTACTACTAGTCTACTATGCACCGCTCCGCGAGCGCATGAATGAATCATTATTTGTTCTGCGAAGGGGCGGTGCATACCGATTCCGGGGCCGCGACGCGCATGATTGACTGGCATGACCTAGTCTGGCACACTGTGTCTACACTTTTTAGTAGACTGTTATATAAACGCAGATTTCTCTCTATATGTAAAGGCAGGGTACCAGTCTAACCACGCGCGTATGTGCGTTGTTCTGCTCAACTATACCGTAGATGGCTCAATTAGACTCTGACGAGACGTTTTCGCAAGAAATCGAGCATTCAGATTCAGGTCAGGGATCGCCGGAGAGCTTTCACTTGTGCGCGCGTGTGTGCTTCTAGTTGTAGTTCCTTAAAAGGGAATAAAGTGACGCAGGCCTGTACCCAGGATTGGCCAATCAGAGGTGTGCGGGTGCCTGCGAGCGCCGAAGGCGCGAAGCGATGTTAGGGGGTCCGGTGACATGACCCCCCCATGGGTGCTTACTGCAGGGGGGGGGGTCGTGAGGTCGTACGCACCCCAAAAATTTTAAAAAACAGTCCCCAAACCCAAAATTTTTTTTTCCAAAGACATTTTTTTTCGAGGCCTTTTTACTCAATTGACATAAATGAAAAAGATCATGTTTACCAGCAATGAGCTCAAAGGAAACATTTGCCATTGCGTGACGTAAAAATCTATCCCAATTCCAGCAATTCTGAAACTGAGCCTTTTTTTAAACAAAAATTTTGTTTCATTAAAAGAGAGACAAAGACTTGACAAGACAAAGACAAGACAGTCACTCCCCCCCCTAGACAGACAAGATAGAAGACAAAAAATGTTAAAAAAAACTGTTTTCAACTAGTCAGAAAACCTTTTTTTTTTAACTGAATTTTTTTTAAAAATTTTTTTTTTATAATTTACATTGTCATTGGCGTGTACAGGGGCGTCCAGGGGGTCCGCGACCCCCCTGCTCGTGCAGGAAAAACGCATCTAAGGAGGTCTAATTTCAAAAAATTTCTGGGGGAGGGCCCCCCGAACCCCCCCTCGCGTGCTCCCCAGTTTGGGTTACGGTTAGACTCCCCCCCCCTGGTACAAATCCTGTACACGCCCCTGATTTTATTGACATTGTAATCACATCTTGCTGCTATTTCATTGTGAAAAGGTCCAAAAAATTATGATCACGACCCACCCAGAAAAAATCCTGGATACACCCCTGCCCCCTGGTAAAAGCGTTTTGGCTTTTGTCCGATAGATCGCGGGAATTCGGCTGTTCGACTTTCCTGACATCACCCCACTGCTAAAATTATCGCCCGTATTAAGGCCTATTTATCGTCATTATATCTACAAAATATGGGTGGATTTAACAAATATGAATAAGCCTATGTTGGTGTCCGACACACGGGCTATACAGTATACACTGAGATCGGTGGCGTGGGCTTGATGCTCACCGCGGCGAAGATTACCGCGTCAGAAAAATGGCCTCTCCTCTCTTATAATAATTATAGATATTATTACACATTTATATGGATTGTGGATCGATGGATGGATAGACGGATGATTGGACTGGTGGGTGGATGGATAGATGGATGGATCGATTGATCGATTGAGGGATCGATTGATAGATGGGTGGATCGATAGATAGATCGATGGGTGGATCAATGGATAGTTCGATGGGTAGATCGATGGATGGAGAGATGGATGAATGTAATGACTATGTACATTGGGTAGCTGTTAAGTGGTACGTTCAAAACTATACAAATCGCATGAAATAAGTTTCAAGCGAATTAACATCGAATCTCCTCAGTTCGAGTTTACTCAGAGACTGCACGCGCATCAAGTTTATATTATGTCGCTTATGTCGCTTATGTCGCAAAGTACATTGCTCAGGTTTCTGCTCAGGTGTTGTCAGTCGACTGATTCACGTGGATGATCAGAAGACGGACTAGTTAATTACTAACAATGGTGCAGATAAATGAAATGATTCAGTTGCGTTGTAGGGCGCATTTCAATAAAAACACGGTTTACGTCTGCGTTTTATTCGGTGTTTAGGATGCTGTAAATACTTTGTGTGTAGGCCGTTTAATTTTGTCATTCAGCTTTCCCTGATGCGTTTCGCCAAATTGATTTTTCATTGTGGAAAGGATACGTTTCGACTTTCACGACGTTATCGATTCAACAACTATATGTATGCATACACACAAGCACGCACGCACGCA